CCTGGGTTCCCCCCGACCCCCCCGACCCCCCGCTGACTTTGTGCCGGCACTGGAGCTTGAATTACCCCTTCCATCGAGGAAGTCAGAAGACCCAGCAGAAACCAAACAAGGTATGTGGCTTCGAGCGATCCCCACCCACACCCTCGGCGCCTGTCCTCCCCCTCCTGCTCCCTTCCCCCCCCCCACCCTCCTCCATCATTCCTCCTCTCCATTCTCCCTCCTCCCCCCCTCCTCCTTCTCTTCCTCCTCCTCATGCTCCTCCTGCTCCTTCTCTTCCTCCTCCTCCTCCTCCTCCTCCTGCTCTTCCTCCTCCTCCTCCTTCTCTTCCTCCTCCTCCTGATCCTCTCCCTCCTCCCCCTCCCTCCTCCTCCTCCTCCTCCTTTTCCGTCCCCCCCCCGTCTTGGTATGTTTCGTTGCGCTGGCCCCCGAAGTCGGGCTCGGGCGTCGGGCGCCCGCCGGCAGGGGAGCCGCCGCCGCTGGCGCGGAGGTGTTCTGGAGACGGGGGCAGGTCTGACGAGTTGCGATGGCATGTGGCAGCGGGTCGTGCTCGGTCCTTTCTCGGGTATAGCCAGGACCCCGGGTGAGGGGACCCGGTGTTAGTGGTGGGGTCCTGGAGCCCCCCAATTTGCCAGAATCACTGAACCAGGTCTGCCGTAGCCTGTGTTTTTCCGTGCGACGGCAGTTCCGATTAGTGGAACGGGCGGGGGGGGGGCGTCCCTCAGTACACACCACTAAACCAGGTCCCATTAATCCCAGTTCTGCCAACGCCCGACTTTCGTGCTCTGTTCTGTCATGTAATGCTCGGTCTCATGCTATGTCATGCTGTGCTCCGTCGCGCGCCGTGCTGTTCAGTCATGGCCCGATCGTCGAAGGGGCGCGGCTGGCGGGACACTCGGGGGTCATTCGGTGGACCTGGGGAACTCGCGGCCTCGGTATGCAGGGTGGGCCGGTCGGAAGGCTTGTTCTCAAAATCTATTGACCCCATTTCGTCGTGTGGGGAACATGCCAGGTGCGTTCTGCCATGCCTTGCTCTGGTATGCCGTGTGTTGCTATGTCATGCTTTGTTATGTCATACTCTGTCCTCGGTCATGTTCTGTCATACTGTGTTATATTATGCACTGTTCTGCTCAGTTTTGTCATGCTCGTCGAAGGCGCGGGTGGCCGGATGTTCCAGGGACAGTCGGTAGACCTAGGAATCTGGCGGCCACGGTATGCAGGGGGGGAGGTCGGCTGTTTTGTTATATATATATATATGCGTATATATGTATATACACATGTATATATATATATATGTATGTACACATCCATCCATCTATCCATCCATCCATCCATCCATACATACATACATACATACATACATACACACACACATACATACATACATACATACATACATACATACATACATACATACATACATACATACATACATACGTACGTACGTACGTACGTACGTACGTACGTACATAGATACATACATACATACATACATACATACATACATACATACATACATACATACATACATAATGTACATATCTATGTTTACATACATATAGAGAGATATACAGCTATATCGGAGTATGCCTCGGGCGGGCCCAGAAGCAGGACCCCGGGTACACATGACCGAATGGGGGCTCCAGGGGTCCGGTCGGGAGGGCCCAAGTCGCCTCCTGGTCGTACGGAGAATCCACATATTGGTATAACAGTCTACCAGACCGGGTCAAGCACATACCGAAACCACCGAAGATGCTCTCTGAACGGCCTCGGAAGGCTTCCAGGCTGCGCCAGGACTTCAGTGGGCGCTGGAGGCCCCAGACGAGGACCCAGAGAGGCAAGAATTATATATTCTCTATGGTTTGTCCATTTTTTCAGTGCCCTCCTTTTGTCGACATCATCACACTCCACGACGGTCCACGAAGCCTCCGACGCCACCTCAGCACGCGCCCAGCGGCCCCCAGAACGACCCCGGGACGGCCTAGCAGGGCTCCATGACGCCCCCAGGGTCACCCGAGACGGCCCATGAGGCTTATGTCGGGCGTGTCCCCCCCCAACAGAGGGATTTTGAAGGAAAAATCAAACAATCTTCAAAATACCCCAAAGAGGTCCAAAAATATTCAAAAAATAGTGCCCAGATTATTTTTGGATTGATTTGTTCTAGCTTTTTGGGTGTATTTCAAATTTTTCGTCGAAGCCCGCCCTGTAGGGGGACAGGCCCGACTTAACATGGGGCCCTCAAGACGGCCCCAAGATGGCCTCCCGAGGGAGACCGCGAAGCGAACTTTCCAATATTTCGCCTCGGGGAGCTCCCCATGCAGAGGCCTCCGACAGGCGCCAGGCCGTCCCCTCTGGGCAGGCTCCAGAGGGCGCCCGGGGCCCCAGCCGAGCGGGCCGAGAAACAAAAAGCATTGCCTTCGCTCGGGTTCTTTTCCATGTGTTCGGTACCACCTCGCTCTCCCCATCCTTGACACTCCACGACGGCCCACCAGGCCTCCGACACCGCCTCTGGACGGGCCCTGCGCACCCCCAGAAGGCCCCGGAACAGCCCAGCCGGGTCCCATGATGCCCCCTAGGGCGCCCACGAGGCTCTCAAGACGGCTCCGAAATGACTTCCCAAGGAACGGCATGGACAGAAATGTCTCCGCCTCGTCAAGCCCCCTTCGAGAAGGCGCCAGGACCGCCTCGGGCAGACTCCAGCGGGCACCCGAGGCCCCAGACGAGTGCCCCGAGAAGCAAAAACAATTGATTTGACTTGGGTTTTTCAGTGCCTTCGGGCTCCTCAACTGTTCATGCCTCGGATACGATGCTCCAGGACGGCCCCGGAGGCCTCCAACACCACCTCAGCGACGGGCTCAGGAGGACCCCAGGACGGTCTATCAGAGCTCCTTGGCGGCCCCAGGGACGCCCGAGACGACCTCGGAGGCCCCAGATGCGGCTTCAAGAAAGCCTCCAGAGGGGGAACATGGACCGACATTTCGAGTCTTTCGCCCCCAGAGTCGGGTCGGGCGAAAGGGGGGGATAGCAAAGGGGGGGTTTGAGAATCAGCTCACGTAGCTGATTTTCCCGGCGCCTCCGGGCGCCGGAGGCGGCTATGTATCGAGGAAGGAGCCCCTCGGTGAGGCCGAAACCAGCTGCGTGCAGCAAATTTTGTAACCCTCCCTTTCCCAATCCCTCCCTTTCGCCCGGCCTGACAGAGGCCTCCACGGGGCCCCGAGAAGACCGCGAGAGGCCCCCACGGCGCTCACTCAGAAAAAGGCCCCTTATGGGGTCCCCGCCCGGCCTCCGCCGCCTCCCACACCGAGTTAACAAGCCCCGGCCCCAGGAGGCCACACGGCGGCCCCCATGCGGCCTCACACCAGCATGTTCCCGGAGGGCCTTTTCGGGAACATGGTCGCCCCCGCCACTCCAGCACAGAGGTCGGCGCCGCGGCCGCCGCCGTCGTCGTCGTCGTCGTCGCCGACGTCGTCGTCATCGTCGTCGTCGCCGTCGTCGTCGTCATCGTCGTCGTCGTCTTCGTCGTCGCCGCCGCCGTCGTCGTCGTCGTCGTCGTCGTCGTCGTCGTCGTCGTCGACGTCGTCGCCGTCGTCGTCGTCCCCCCCATCCCATCTGGGTGGGGGGTGGATGGTTGGGCCCAAGGTCTGTTGACAACGACTGCACAGCCGGCTAGAATTTAAGCGCGCGTAGCGCGCACGTGGTTCTAGTGTATATATACATATATCTATATATACACACGCACGTATGTATATACAAGACTGCAGTGGCGCTTCGAGCCATTCACCTTGTTCCTTGTAGTTTTATATGCAGGCGGCGTGCGTGCGCGTGGACATGAGGCGGGCCCCGGGCGGGCCACCGCCAACTCGGAATGGGTGAGGACTCCTACGCAGGAGCGACGGGACAACACCACCTGAGTCCAGCTCATGGCGTTTTTGGGCTCAGAGGCGCGAATACGTCTGAGGCGAGTGGTTGGTCTAGCACGAAGCAAGGCATCCTTCTCCTCTTTCTCCTCCTCCCTCTTTTCCTCCTCGCCATTCTACTCCTCATCATCATCCTCTTTCTCCTCTCTCCCCCTCATCCTCTACTTCCTCCTCCTCGCTCTCCTCCTCCTCCTCCTTCTCAACCTCCTCCTCCTCCTCTTCCTCCACTTCCTGTTCGTCCTCTGTCTGCATCTTCCCCATTATCCTTGTCCTTCTCTCCTTCCTCGTCGTCCTCTTCTTCTTCCTCCTCCTCCTCCTCCTCCTCCTCCTCCTCCTCGTCCTCCTCCTCCTCTTTCTTCCCTCCTCCTTCTCCCCAATGTGTCTCGCGCTTTCGCTTCCAATCGTCTCGTGCGGCCTCAGGAGGGCCTCGCAGAGCTTCAAAACAGATCCCAGAGAGGCCCAAGGCTGGCCCAAGAGGGCCTCAGTAGCCATTTTGGCTCAAGCCGCTGGCCCTAGGACCGCACACGCATTGGACCGCACAAACCCTCTTTTCCAGATCGGATTTACACCAACTGCATCTCGCGACCTCCGCGCACGTCTTCGGCACGCTCCGCAGCGATGCCTGGGCATGGCGTGTGTGTGTGTGCGTGTGTGTGCGTGGTGTGTGTGTGTGTGTGTGTGCGTGTGTGTGCGTGTGTGTGTGTGTGTTTGTGTGTGTGTTTGTGTGTGTGTGTGCGTGTGCGTGTGCGTGTGCGTGTGCGTGCGCGTGTGCGTGTGCGTGCGCGTGCGCGTGTGTGTGCGCGTGTGTGCGTGTGTGTGTGTGTGCGCGTGTGTGTGTGTGTGTGTGTGTGTGCGTGCGTGCGTGCGTGCGTGCGTGCGTGCGTGCGTGCGTGCGTGCGTGCGTGCGTGCGTGCGTGTGTGTGGCTCTGCTCCTCCTCGCCCCCTATCCACAGGCGCTGGCCCAAGGACCGCACACGCGCCCTGGGGCGAAAACATGCTCTATTCCAGATAGGATCTACACGTACTACACCAGACAGGAACTACAGCTCGCGACTTTCGCGCACGTCTTTGGCGCGCTCCGCAGCGATGCCTGGGCATCCGGCCGTGCACGGCGCGCGGGGAGCGACCGCGGGGGAGGCCTCGGAGGCCAGCGCGGGCCCTCGGCCCCGCGCGGCGGGCCCGGGCGAGGCGCTGCGCCTGGCCTCCACGGAGCCCCTGGTGGAGCACTGCGCCGAGGTCCCCTGGGAGGCACCAGTGAACTTGGCGCTCGCGGCGCCGAGCAGAGCCGTGAGGATGGGCGGGGCGTTCTCGTTCATGTGCGCCCTGAGGATGGATGGCATCGGCAGCTGGAGCCGCGTGTTCGACTTCTCCCTCGTAGCCGACGAGGACAGCATCACGGCCGGGGCCGTCGGGCTGACGCGCGACCTGCATTTCACAGTCTTCCGGGGGAAGAAGCCGTTCAGCGTGACCGTGAGCAATTTCTTCGAGCTCGGAGAAGAGGTTACCATGCTGTGCACGGTCTCGCCCTCGGGGCACATGCGGGTCTTCAAGGACGGTGCGCTCGTAGGGGAGAACGCAGAGGGCATGGCTCCTCTGCGACAGGACAGGCCGCGCATGATCGTGGGCGGCCACTACATGTACACCGACCAGGCCTTCCACGGAAGCATTAGAGACGTGAAGGTGTGGAACCTAGAGTTGGAGTGGCCAATGCTGGGGAATGCCGGATCATCGCTCGTGCCGAAGGAGGGCGGGTGGTTTCCCGACGACGTTGATACCGTGCTCCTCCCCACACGCAAAGGCAAGGATGTGTCGCTCGTGGGCCTCGTGGAGTCCTTCGATGGCGAGTCCACCGATGCTGACTCCCTCGATGTCGAGTCCCTCGTTTCCGACACTGGTGGAGTGTTCAGTTGCGCGCGCCCCAGCAGGGCAGGCATGCGTTCGCGTACGTAAGCGCCTTCGCCCTGCTCCGACGCATCTGGAAAGAGAGTGAGAGCCAGCAGCGGGGGCAGTCGCACTGCGCGCGTGCTTGCCGCCTGCGCCATGTTTTGAGCCGCATGCTAGCATTTGGGGGTGCCCCGAAGCTTCATCTCACGCGCTTTATGCCGCTGCCTTTTCTCAGGGCAGTGTGAGGATGTGTTTGACGCGCCGTCTCCACAGGCGGCCGCCTCCGTGCATCTTCTGGATCCGCCGGGTCGCACATGTCCTGAATTATGCGCAACGGCTGGATCAATCGGCTCGTTTTTTTCCATCGACCTCGATGGGGCAGACATTTACTAGAGTGGCCCGTGGTCGCGAAGGCATTGCCTGGATGCTGCCACACACGTATGGGGCAGGCACGGTCGTGCTTTTTTTTTGTTCCAGAAAGGGCGGGAGCCCAGGGTTCTCTTTTAGCTGTTCACCCCTGGTTTCGACGGCTCTATGAAACGTTGCCATGCCTTACATTCTATATTCCTTTCTGGGTTCGTGGGTCGATCATGTTGAATGTTTACGTCAAGCATCTAGGGCATTCTGGGTTTTCAGTCGGAGGGTTGTTAGGAGAAGATGATCCTACGGAGGCAGCGATGCCTTCGGAGGCATGCGTCCACCACCCTTCCCTGATGCAGATCTCGTCCCAGACGGGTCAGAGCGCGCCTCTCTGCCCCGCAGCGGCCGCTGCGTCCGGCGGCTCCGTCGGTTGGGTAGGCCATCCCTGTGGGGACTGCGGGGCCAGCTGTCGCACCTGACGCCTGTGCGCAGCGTTTGGCCCTTGTGGCAGGACAGCGCGGCGACGGGGGCCCAGCTGTGGCTTCAGTTGCAGCAGCAGGCCTCGCGTGAGGGCGCCTCATCACTTCGACAGCTGCTCCGAAGCGGCCACTGCGTCTGGCGGCTCCGTCGGCTGGGTAGGCACTGCGGGGCCAGCTGTCACATCACTCCGGAGATGAAAAAGGGAGGAGGAGGAGGAGGAGGATGGCCAGGGAAGGCAACAGTCCAACAGGGCCTGCAGAATCGGCCTTCTCGCTTTTTTCGCTTCTGGATGATTCGAAGGGCGTCAAGGTGACCCCAGGATTGCCCCAGGGAGGCGCAAGCCGAGGCCCACAGAGGCCCGAGGCTGGCCGAAGAGGGCCCAAAGAAATGAACATCCATAACAAAAACCATTGGACAATGAATGTTTTTGGTTGTCTCGCCTTGTCGCTTCCGATTGGCTCTTGACCTTTCCTGGAAGCATCAAGATAAGCCCATGACGGCTCCAAATGAGTCCCCAGAGGAACCCGAAGGAGGGCACATAATGGCCCTACAGCCCGGAGGTTCGAAAATCAATGAAAAGCCAATGGGGAAAGCCATGTGTTCGCTCTTCTCGCCTTTTCGCTTCTGGTTTGCTCGAGAGGCGTCAAGATAGCCCGAGGATGTCTCCAGAGAGGCGCAAGCCGAGGCCCACAGAGGCCAAAGGCCGGCTGAAAAAGGAAAACCCATTGAAAAAAACAAAGTTGGCCTTTTTCGCCTTTTCGCTTACTGTCCGCTCTTGAGGCGTCAAGATTGCCCCAGGACGGCTCCGAGCGAGTCCCCAGACGAGCCCCAAAGAGGTCCAAGGCTGGCCCAAGAGGGCCCAAATAATTGAAAATCCACGAAAACCCTTGGAACAACAAAAATCAACGTTTTTGGCCTTCTCGCCTTTTTCGCAGACGATCAGCTCTTGAGACGTCGAGATAGCTCCAGGAGGGCTCCAAATGACTCCCCAGACGAGCCCCAAAGAGGCCCAAGGGAAGCGCAACAGGGCCCGGAGAGTCGAACATCAGAGAAAACCCACATGAACAAAAAAAAAACAATGGTTTCGGCCTTCTCGCTTTTTTGCTTCCAGTTGGCTCGGGGGGCGTCAAGATGACCCCAGGATGGCCGCAGAGAGGCGCAAGACAGGCCCGAAGATAATCGAAATTCGTTTGGGGGGGGGGCGCGGGGGGGGGGCTCCCCAACCTTATAACAAAAATACCTATACGACCACCCTTCGGGTGATAAGGAGGTGAGGGGGGGGGGAGGGACCAACGTCGCACTCGATCCACTCTCGATATCACTATCGATCTCACTATCGATCTCACATTCGGTCTCACTATCGATCTCACTATCGATCTCCCATTCGGTCTCACTATCGATTTCCCTATCGATCTCACATTCGGTCTCACTATCGATTTCACTATCGATCTCACTATCGATCTCACAATCGATCTCACATTCGGTCTCACTATCGATCTCATTATCGATATCACAATCGATCTCACAATCGATCTCACTATCGGTCTCACTATCGATTTCACTATCGATCTCACATTCGGTCTCACTATCGATCTCACTATCGATTTCACTACAGATCTCACCATCGATCTCACATTCGGTCTCACTATCGATCTCACTATCGATCTCACTATCGATCTCACTATCGATCTCACATTCGGTCTCACAATCGATCTCATTATCGATATCACAATCGATCTCACAATCGATCTCACTATCGATCTCACAATCGATCTCACAATCAATCTCTCTTTCGGTCTCACTATCGATTTCACTATCGATATCACAATCGATCTCACAATTGATCTCACATTCGGTCTCACTATCGATATCACATTCGGTCTCTCTATCGATATCATCATCATCATCATCATCATCATCATTTTCATCATCATCATCATCATCATCAGCACCATCATCATCATCAACAACATCAACAACATCATCATCATCGGGACACCGGCGGGACACCGGCGGGACACCGCGCGCCACTTGCCGCCCGGTGGAGAATCATTTGGTCCGGCCGCGCCTCAGCCACAGAGGACACCACCGGGACACCGGCGGGACACCGCGCGCCACCGGCCGCCCGGTGGAGAATCATTTGGTCCGGCCGCGCCTCAGCCACAGGAGACTTTCCTATCGCCCGCCCACGCAGCTTCGCCTCGCCCGCACGCACGGCACGCACGAACACGAAACCGAAATCGATTTCCCGGTAGGGGGGCTCTCCGTTCCACTTCGATCTCACCCCCTCACCTCCGATATAATAAGAGTGCATAATCTGACGGCCCCTGCTTGCCAGGTGGTGAACGACTAATGCGGTGGGAACGCACGGATTTCACATGCAACATTTTCTCATGGCTCAGAGACGACTTGCTAGAATGTTCGCCCTGGATTCTCGGAGTGCGCGAGATCAGTGGCATCTGTCCCAGTCATCTCCACATAATGGTTTCTCACCTATGGCCGAAACCCGTTAGGGTTTTCCGTCCCGTCGGTGTTTTTGCGGTGCCCCACCGTGTTTGGGCGAAGTTGAGATGACCTTCGGCCGCGAAATGGGAAGTCAATCATCCCCGCCCCGGGTTTGCCGCCTGCGAATTCACGGGGGTTGTGGACACTATCTGGCATCAGGCCTTCCAGTCGGAGAGAGGCATCGTAGTTAGACAGTGAGCTTGCACGCTCCTATGGGATTCCCACGAACACTGTGCGGGGTTGTGCATTCCTCAGGTTGTGGCCAGATGTGCGAACCATATGTTCCACTTTGGCGTCGGGCGACTTGCCTGTTATGTCTGTGGGGCCCATCGGTGCGTTTCTCTCCAGAGAGTCCTCACGCTTGTTTTTGTTATTCCGTTCGCTCGGGGGTGGCCGCGGGACGCTCTTTGGCGACGGCCAAACTCACAGGACGGCGTCCATAGTATTGCTTGGGTCCCGTGCCTGCGCTACAGCTTCAACGCCGACGATCACGGGCTCCGCATTGTGGGGGACTGCCTTTCGGTCAAGGAAGGCATCATTCGAGGGAACGGGCAGCTTCACCGCGCGACGTTTGAAGAAATTGGTGCCGACTTCGCGGAGGACAAGGCTTAAGTCGGGCCCGTCCCTCTACAGGGGGAATCTTCAACAATAGTCAAAACATAGTCGGGTGACCCTTTTTTGTATTTTTGGGCATCGTTTGAGTATTTTTTGATTATTTGTTTCATCCAAAATCCCCCTGTAGGGGGACAGGCAAGACTTAAGACAAGACAGGCTTGCAACCTCTGCCTTGACATCCACACGAAGTTTGGAGCGTCAATCACTGGCACGTAAGCGCTGTCGTTGCCAAATCAGGCGCGGATGGCACTGTGGGACGACCTCCCCGTCACCGAGGAATGGAATCTAAAACTGGCCAAAGACAGGGAGAGGCTGTCCTCGAGGGAATTCCGAAGAACGTCCTCTCTGCGGTGGCCCGCGCCGGTTTTCCCCATCCTGGAGACGAGCGCCATCCCCCGATGGCCGAAGGGCCCTAGCAGGTCACGCGGCATGTTGAATCTCCGTCAGATACCGTGGACATCGGCGTGAAGGTTTTTGATCGATGGCCGTTGCACCGCCCGTCGGATTGAATGGGGAGCGCCAGCGAGCTGCGTGGACTTGCGCAGTGTGCTCAAGGCCGATCTCGCGCATGCGAGGTGACATGCCCTAGTCGCCCCACTGCCCCAGTCGCCTCGGAGTGCAGAGTTGCGCGCCAGCACGGGCAGTCGCGTGCCTCCCCGCTCCCAGCGACTGCGTCTCCGAGTACTTCGGTGCCGCGCTGCAGATTGCTGGCCCGAAGGCAGTGCGGGTACGAAACCCGAGGGCACCAACCGCCAGCGACGGCGAGTCGCAGCAGGCAAAGCACGCGGGACCTGGGAACGTCGGCAGCGAGTCGGTTGTTCGACGCCCGGTGCCGCTCAGGCGCTGCTAAGACGAAGCAGCGCAGGTGCAGGCAGTGCGGAGGCCTCTGTGCAGGCTCTGCAAGGGCGCAAGTTCTGAACGAGGAAGAATTGGAGCGAGGAGGAGCGTTTTTTGTTGTGTGCACAGGCAGTCGTGTGGTGGACACTGTTGCAAAGGCTGCCGCGGCTTCACACCCAGAAGCTGACTATGAGGTGCGCCAGCGCACTGACATGAGTATCAGCTATGTTCGGTTTTCTGCACCTTGGCCATGAAGTTACTGGGCCGCTTCCCTCCTTCTGAAGGAACACGGGGAAGTCACACACACACACACACCCCTCACAACCCGAAGCGTGCAAGGAGTAGGGGGCTTTGCACGTTCTGGTGGATAGCTCGAGGTTAGAGATGTACAGACTGTTGCAAGCTGGGCAGAGGCTCGGCGCATCCAGAGCGAGCCCCCACCTCAAGCTGCAGCGGCCAGCCCAGGAATGTACATCCAAACGACGTCGCTGATCTGGGGCGTTGCATCGTTGCCCTTGCATGTGACGACGGCAGCTCTTTTTTATTCGCGTTTATTTGGTTTCCGTTGTCTCGGTGGGCGGTGTTCTCTGAAGCGATACGTATAATCAGCGCTGCACGGGAGTGGTGCAGCCACGCCAGAAGACGTAGTGGACCAACATATTGAGGGACGGCAAGGGTCCCGACCCACAGAAGATTGTTGTGCGACTTTGCTCAGGGGGCATTCTCAGAGCTGGAAGCTCCGAGTCCTTGCCCACTGTGCCCGCCAGAGCAGCCTCAGTATCGCCGCCATCGTCGGACGAGGGCCTCCGAGTCGAGGCAAGATGGGGCCGCGTTGGCTCGCACAGCCCAGCTCCATGAGGTGTCCGCCGCCCTTCGTCGCGAAGAACGATTTCACAGTGTGGCTCTCGCCTTAGCGCCGCGTACATTCGTTTGGAAAGTGTGCACACCAGTTTGAAGGATTCGCATGGTCGACCTCGCAAGAACGGCGTTCGTAGGATATTTAACATGGTCAGGGCGCAAGAGCCACGCTGATTCGCGGTGTTTGAGTCCAAGAAATTGTGTTCAGGAGCGGTTTAGGATTGTCAAGACGCAATTGCCACGTTGATTCGCGACGCTTCCGTCCCAGGAATTGCGTTCTGGCACGATTGAGGATTGCCAGGAAGCAACAGCCACGTGGATTCGCGACGCTGAAATCCCAGGAATGGTGTTTTGGCACGGTGGCCCTTCTTCATCACTCTCGGAATGATCGGGGGGCGGGCGGAGTCGGAGTCGGGATCAGACCAGCGTCTACGCCTGCAGCAAGCCCCTCTTTCGCTGCAGAAGGGCCTGCCATTACAACCGTCCCAGCTCACTCAGCCTGAACTGCAAGGTTCACGTATCGCCGGAGCCGCGAGTGCACCAACGGCCTCCTCCTCTCCCTCCTCCCCCACTTTTCGTCGTCGTCGCGTCGGCGTCGGCGTCGTCGTCGTTCGACCGACCGACCGTCCGTCCGTCCGTCCGTCCGTCCGTCCGTCCGTCCGTCCGTCCGTCGTCGTCGTCGTCGTCGTCGTCGTCGTCGGCGTCGCTCGGCCGCGGCGGCGCTCCAGCGGGGCGCGGGGCGTTTCCGCGCCAGCGCGGGGCGGCCTCCGCGGGCGGCGGCGTGCGGGCGCTCGTCGCTGCGGGCGGCGGAGGCCCCTCGTGGGGGGGGCGCCGGCGGAGTTGGGGAGGCCCCTCGTGGGGAGGGCGCAGGCCTGACACCTCGAGGGGGAGGGGGAGGGGGAGGGGGCGGGGGAGGGGGAGGGGGGAGGGGGAGGAGGAGGAGGAGGAGGAGGGGGGGAGGAGGAGGAGGAGGAGGGGAGGGGGAGGGGGAGGGGGGGAGGAGGAGGAGGAGGAGGAGGAGGAGGAGGAGGAGGAGGAGGAGGAGTCTGGGTCCGTTTACTCCCCGACTCCGCTGTGCCTCCCAGGAGCCCACGAACGTGGCGACAGTTGCGCAGTTCCCAGCCCCCTAGGGAGCTGCGAGGCTTGGTCTGGACCCCTTTACTCCCCAACTGTGCTCCCCAGGAGCCCACGAAGGTGGCGACATGTGCACAGTCCGCAACCCCTCAATCTACTCTGGATCCGTTCACGCCCCGACCCCGCCGTGCCCACGAACGTGGCGAGAGTTGCGCAGTTCGCAGTCATCCAAGGAGCTGCGAGGTCTAGTCGAGTCTGGATCCGTTTTTGCCCCGACCCCGCCGCGCCTCCCAGGAGCCCACGAAGGTGGCGACATGTTGTGCACTTCGTAGCCACCCCTGGAGCTGCGAGGTCTAGTCTGGGTCCGTTTACTCCCTGACTCCGCCGGGCCTCCTGGGAGCCCACGAAAGTGGCGACGGTTGCACAGTTCTTAGCCTTCCAGGGAGTCTCCCACCCAGGGAGCAGCGCAGGAGGAGGGGGGAGAAAAGGATGAAACGCGACCGCAGTGCTATATTCAAAACGAGAGCCCAAGTCAGACGGCGGCGTTTTCTGACAGATGGCGTGTGCGCCAGTCGGGACGGTAGTACTCTGCGTGCGTTTCCAATGTTGTTGTTTGGATTTATTGTTGCTGGGAAGGCCTTCCAGGACGTTTGACTTTGGCGCACCGTCGTCGTATCGGGGATTTGCCGAATCGCTGAACTATGATGCTCTTCTACTATGATCGCTAGTGTTTGACACAATGATGCGACGTTTGCATGTCCGGTATTTCTTCTTAGAAATTCAATGCCGGGGGGATGTTTCCGTAGACAGTTGCAGTTGTGGCGCCGCGCAATGTCCGTAGATTCGTGAGTTGCGATGAGTAGGATCAGGATGAGCAGGAGGAGGGGGGGGTGTTGATGATGATGATGAGGAGGAGGAGGAGGAAGAGGAGGGATGAGGATGGACATGTAGAAGATGGAAGTACATGCAGGAGGAAAGTCGCCGCGGTGGATAGCTCTCGGGAGCAGGGTATTCGAATGTATTTTGTTGTATGACTGGCGTTTGCTGAGGCCTTTGAGGTCGACAGATGTCTTCGGAGATCTTCGGACGTTCTCAGAAATGGTCGGCCGTTCTCAGAAAATGGTCGGCCGTTCTCAGAACACCGGAGGACGTCTTCTGAGGACCGTCCAAAACCTTGCCACTATTCGCGTTATACCGATGAGAGGAGGAGGGAGGACCTCCTCCTCTCATCGTTCTCCTCCTGCTCCTCCTCCTCCTCCTCTTCCCCCTCCAGATCCCCGTCCTCCTCATCATCCTCCTCCTCGCCCTTCTCCTCCTCCTCCTCCTCCTCCTCCTCCTCCTCACCCCTCCTGCCTCCAGTGAGTGCGCTCCGAAGTGCGTCCCAGAAGAACCGCCCCAACATGCAGGTCCCACGACGCCCCAGCCTCCAGAGGCCCGAAGAAACCATTCGAAAGGGCCCAGGGAGCCACACGCAGCATTCGAAACATGCCGCAGCTTCTTGCCTCGGCGACGCGAGGAGACTGAGTACATCAACCCGGCCCCGCGGCACGCACCCCGCAGGGTTCAGCGCCGACGACCCGAAGGTTTGGTTCTGCGCTCGAGTCTTCCTGCGCGAGCCTCGAAGGGTTCAGCGCCGATGCATCGAGGGTCACGAGCCCCGAGTAGTTCTGCGCTCGAGGCTTCCCTGGCGCAAGCCCCGAAGGGTTCCGCGCCAGTGGCGCGAGCCCCGAAGGGTTCAGCGCCGGTGAAGCTAGTAGCACGAGCCCCAAAGGTTTCTGTGCTCGAGGCTTCCCTGGCACAAGCCCCGAAGGGTCCCGCGCCAGTGGCACGGACCCGAAAGGTTCATCGCCGGTGAAGCTGTGGGCACGAGACCCGAAGGGTTCTTCGCTCGAAGCTTTCTTGACGCGAGCCCCGAATGGTTCAGCGCCGGTGGCACGAGCCCCGAAGGGTTCAGCGCCAGGAGAGAGTGGTGGAAGACGAGTGGGAACAGGATGGATGAATCGAAGGAGGATGCGCAGAAAGGGTGTAAATATGGTAAAGATGCAACAGATCTGAGGATGAATGCGATTCAAAATGTGATGTACCCCCCCCGGGTGGGGCCCAGGACATCGTTTCTCAGGCGGTGGACAGGGATACGCATTCGCCTTACAATGTTGATGTCGAGGTGGGGAACCTCTCATACATAGTTTTTTTCTGACTTTTGCGCGGATTTCTTGGATCGGCGTTGGGCCCCTGTTTTGTTTTTTGTTGCTCTGTTATTATGGCCACAACCCTGCACCCCTTACTGGCACCGAGATCCGAACTCTACACTCGCCAATCAAATATTCAATCAAGTCGACAGGCGGCGGAGGTAGGTCTCGGAATTCGCCGAACACGTGGCGAAAACCTGACACTTGACAGGATGATGAGGGTCCGGTCGCCACCCTGTTGACCCCTCGTCCCCCGCGCCCCCCCCACTTCGAAAACGCGGGGTCGCAGCACGAGTCGTCGGCCGCCCGGCAGGCCTGAATTGAGATCCGGCGACCCGCCGGCCAAATCCCTCAGCATGGATAGGGGAGCAAAAAGTGGCATAAACATAAGAACTCGGGCGACCCTTCGGCGTGTGAGACGTTGTTCCGTTTGAATCGTCGTCGACGTCGTCAGTCCCAGGGAAATTGACATCAACATCAATGACGCCGTGTCTGCACGACACATCGGCTGAAGAGGTGCCGCCTGCTGGAGGCGCAAGTCCAGACCAGGGCGCAAACATCAAGGACGGCTCAGGAAAAAGCGTGCTGGCTAGCGACTGTCTTAGGGGAACAAAAAGTGACGTAAACATAAAAGTTCGGAGGTCCGCCCGGATTTCTCGGATCGGCGCTGGACCCCCCTCCCTGGCGCGCTCCGCGCGCCAGGGGCGGCCCCAGCGCGGATCCGAGAATTCCGCGCGGACCTCCGAGCTTTTATGTTTACGTCACGTTTTGTTCCCCTACCGCCGGCCAAGCCCATCAGCATGGGATCGGGGGCAGTGCCGCCTGCTCGAGTGCGCGCACCCTCGGGGGCCACGCGCCGTCCCGGCCGGCGTAGCTCTCCATGCGTGCTTCGGGTGCCCAGGGCCGGAGTTGCCCAGGGCCGGAATTGTCTGGATAGCACGGGCGGCCGACCTTTTCCCGAATCATCGGGGTCGGGTTAAGTCGGGCCTGTCCCTCTACAGGAGGACAATTCAAACATAGTAGTAAAACAAGTTGTGTGCAATGTTTCTGAGTTTTTTTTAACCATGTATGACATTTCTTTGAGTAGTCTTGATTGTTCGTCCAGGAGGACGTGCACGACCTAAGGGTTGGGGGTGATCAGAGGTTAATCTTGGTTCGTGAGGGGGGCCAAGCCAGAGTTACCCCAGTTTGGTCCAGTTACCGCGGATAGCTTTGTAGGTCTTCAGTTTTCCTCCCCCCACTTGTATCGTGAGGGGGGCCACGAGCTCAGAGTTACTTTTCCTCCTGCTTTGTTACCGCGGATAGCTTTGCTTAGGTCTTGTCCTCCTCCATCTCCTGTCCTCCTCCTCCTCCTCCTCCTCCTCCTCCTCCTCCTCCTCCTCCTCCCCCTTCTCCTCCTCTTTCTCCTCCTCCTCTTCCTCGTCCACGTCCTGTTTCTCGTCGCGGTCGTTGTCGTCATCGTCGTCGTCGTTGTCGTCGTCGCGGCGTAGATTTTTTTCCCTCTATTGCTGGGCGGGCGGGAAGATGTAACGGGATTTCTTCTGCCAGGGAGATAGTCCAGTGTGGGGTACCCTACACGCGAGAGGATTTAGGAGCATCTTATGCGGATTGCAATCGGAATCAGTTGTCGTGGTCGAATTGTCGTCGTGGTTATAATCGTGATTGTAGTCGCGATTGAAGTCGTCATCGTGGTCGCGGTTGTAGTCGTAAACGTAGTCGCGATCGTAGTCGTAATCGTTTTCGTCGTCGCGGCGGATATTATGTTTCCTCTGTTGCTGGGCGGCGGGATAGTGTTGGGGAGTCCTGTCTCCCAGGGAGGAATGTTGTCTGGGCTACCATGCGCGAGAGAGTATGTTCGAGCACGTTTGTAGAAGGATTGCAATATAGATTGACACTTTCTTCGTTGAAAGCGTTGCTCACAATACATTCCTTCATCTCCTCGTCGTCGTCGTCGTGGTTGTTGTTGTTGTTGGTGGTGTTGTTGTTGTTGTTGTTGCTGTTGCTGCTGTTGCTGCTGCTGTTGTTGTTGTTGTTGTTGTTGATGTTGTTGGTGTTGTTAGTGTTGTTGTTGTTGTTGTTGTTGTTGGTGTTGTTGGTGTTGTTGTTGTTGTTGTTGTTGTTGTTGTTGCTGCTGCTGCTGCTGCTGATGTTGTTGTTGTCGTCGTGGTTGTTGTTGTTGTTGTTGGTGGTGGTGGTGGTGTTGGTGTTGGTGTTGTTGTTGCTGTTGCTGTTGCTGTTGCTGTTGCTGTTGCTGTTGCTGTTGCTGTTGTTGTTGTTGTTGCTGTTGTTGCTGTTGAACATTATTCCTTCTAAAGAATTATTATTGTTGGGACCCCTGGTGCGCGACCTCTGCGCCGCGCCTAGGCCGCAGCTACATTTTCATCATTTTTTCGCGAAAGCTTCAGAAAAGTGGATGAGCTCCGGATCCGGTTTTTTGTTGACGCTCGTTTTCCCTTGCAAAAAACAATAGAAAATGAAAATTCTTGTTTTTACTTGATCAAATTGCAAGAATCCCTTGCAAAAAATAAGGTAAAGTGGACATTCGTGCG